AAAACCCCCCCCCCCCCCACCAAAAGTACAGTGCCGTTAGAAAAGGCAGCCAGTGATGGCTTACTTTTGCATTTCCCCCATTTTGGCCAGAGACAGGGGGAAGGTTAGATTGAGAAATTATTTCATTCAGGTTGCTTAAACACTTACTGTTTCATATCCTCCCAGTTTTTGAGCAGCTTGAAACATAGTCCAAAGGTTAACTGTTAGAGGGATAATAAGTGTTTAGATAAGCATTGCATTAACACATTTCCAAGCGATGTCAATTAAAACATTTTGTTTTGTTTCTTAATGAGAAAGAGAAAGGAAAAAAAAAAAATCAACTCTACTCCAGAGAGCTAAATTCTTAGGAAACAATCTGCCAAAGGGCATTCAACATTACAGGATCTATTTATTATTACCACTTAAGGTATTTCTTAAGAAACATCTATGATACTACAGAGACAATTCTTCTTTTAGGATAAAGAACAGCAGAGTCTGATTTGCATTGCCATCAGCAGAGTAAGCTAATATATTGGACTGACCTTGGGAAAATGTGTGGGAATTCAAAATAGCAGTGGGTCAGTTCAGCTTTTAGAAAGAAGCCATAGTATAGTCACACGAATGCTTCCATTAGATAAGATCTCTCCATGATCAATAAATAGCAGTCACTTTGTAGACTGTCTGATGGCAACACTATATTAAACGACCCTGTTGTATTTTCCCAACTAGGATCTTGTAATATGTAGAAAATAAGCCCCTTCCATGCCAGAACTATGGCACAGCAAGCCCAAATAAAGGAAGACGTTCTTCACAGAGATACTGAGTCATGAGCCCTCCTAGCTCCCTGATGTGCCTGTGTGATACTTTGAATGTATCTTTCTTGCTTTATCAAACATCTCCTATGTAGGGTTCGCATATGTTTACGCTGTTAAACATCTCTGCCCAGTCAGTATCAAGCTTGATCATTTTGTATCAAATAACTAGGGATCCTGATTCCTTTCTATGAGGAGAAATTTGGGCTTCAAGTAATTCCTTGGTACGGGAAATGAATGAAATGAAAATTAAACAACCCAAAAGGCTCTCTGCCACATCATGCTCACAAAGCCATATTTACCTTGTGTTTCAAGGCTATCAAGAGCCCTGCCCTGGCCTTGATTTAATCTGAGCCAACGACAGAGCAACAAAGCGCTTCACAGTACATTAATTTTACTTCTATTTCAAGCAACCAGTTTTCAGACAAACATTGTAATCATTCGTCGTTATATAAGTTTATAACGGCTGTGGAGTGTTCTCTTGCAATCAGTGCCAATTGCTATTAGCTATGTAAATTGTTATGTAAAACATACAGGTTTGACATTCTTCATCAAAATGACACATGGTTTTCATCTAGGAAGATGCATTTGGAGAAAATACTACTTCGAGCCAGAGGCTCCTGTCATTGTGCATCACTAAATCCAAACAGAGGCAAATATATGTTCAGTTGTGAACCTGGGGTAGGGTTTGGATGGATTTCTCTCCTTTCTGTATGGACTTCTGTTCAAGCTGAGTCGGGCTTGGCTTATATATGACACCTAATTGCACAGCTTAAAAGTTACTTAAAACTGAACTTTTTAAAGATGGATGCTTTTCTTATTCCTGTGAATTCAGGTTTTTCTTATCTTTTAACGAATTTAGGGCATAGGGAATGTTTTCTCTTTGTGGCTGTTTGGCCCATCTTTACATGTCTTCCTTTTAAAAGCTGTCTTCCAACAGGCAACATCTGTGCCTGATAAGGCTACAGCAGAGCATTATCTCACAAGAAAGGCGTTACAGACACTCAAGGCTGACAAAACAGAAAATGAAAAACTTTCATCGCGTCTAATTCCAGTCATCATCAGTGGACTCCAGTCTATAAATAACTCAGTGCAACTGTCCCAGAAGGAAACAGTGCAAAGAGACAGGGGGAAATTCTTGGCTCAAGCAGTTTGTGGATTTAGTATAAACAGAAAACACCCTGCCTAGATTAGGGTTCTAACATAATATCTGGTCAAAAAATTCCACTCCCCCTCCCCCAATTCAAAGAATCTGAACGATTTTGATATTTTAGAAACAAAAAACAAGTATACTTACTCTGTTTGAAACCTAAATAGGGAATTCGCTCTATGGGCGTTTTCCTCTCTTTCATGTATTTATAAAGTGCCACCAGGAAGGCCTGTTCATCTGCCCTGCATTCTTCACCAATGGACAGCTTTGGCTTTTCTTCATTTGAGATTTTTTTACAGTTATTGTGGTTATTCTTCGGCTTGGTCAAGGCTGACCTGGCCTCACATTTTACCTGGAAAAAAGATAATAAACATCATATCAAGCCCGGGCCCGGAAGGCTGATAAAGACACAGTTAAAGGGTACTTTCCCCCTGATCTCCCTGAGGAGGGAGGAGGAGCATGAGCAGCAAGTTAGGGCCAGCCAAAGACAGCCTTTTGGAGGTACCCAAGGAAGACGCATCCTAGAGCAACCGAGGGCAAATTTCTGTAAGGGTCACTGGTAAATACGTGGGCTTTGGAGCCTTCTGGACCCTATGGCACATACTCAAATCTAGTGTAAGCATGATGTGGGAACGAGTGCCAAGGCTGTGTACCCATAAAACTTTATTGGCAGAAACAGGCACCCAGAGGGCCCTGGTTTGCCCAATTACTGCAGGGTCCTTTGGACACTTCACAAGTATGTTCATGCCAGATCAACAGTGTTTACATTTGGTGGGAACATCATTCTGCCTCATTATATATTTTATTTTCTCAAGGGACACCATCAGTTATGTTCTTGAAGAAACCTCACTTTCTTAATAAACAATCCAATACTGTCTGCTTGATATAAAAATGAAAGACAAGTTTATTTCTTCAGAGTTATCATAGAGTACAGCAGAGGCTATTGTCAACTGTCACTCGGGGCAATGCCCACATATACCCTGCGCAGGGTAGCAAAAAGCCTAGTCTTGAATGAGGACTTACTGCTTTTCAGTCAGCTGATAATGTCATAGGAAATGTTCAGTTGCCACAAAAGAAAGGGTAAAGGTCAGCTAAAAACCCAAGCTAGGGTATAAATGGAGGTAACTGCTCCGGAGTCCTTCCTTCTCGGTCACAGGCAGACATGACTCTCGGCTAACGTTACGTTCCCTCCTGGCTGCCATGTTGTACACAGGCCTTTGATGGTCATTAAACAAAATGCTAAGTTGCTGATCTATTTTAACTGTAAAAGGGGGAGATGGAAGGGTCAAACGTGGCGTTCAAGCGCACCCAAGGGAAATGTGTATGTTCCAGTAGTCTTTACATCTCCACAGCGGACACTGGGCGGGAAGGAGGGCACGTCCCGGGGAAACGTCATGAATAAAAACGTCTTACGTACTCTACAGTGTTCCTGATTTTAGATTTTCTTCCCCTTCAGATCCTTCTGAGCACTAAGCACATGAAAAGATTTGTTTATTTATTAAAGTGGAACAATCCTCTGTTTTGTATTGCTTATTCTCACCAGTGAGCACACTAATATCTTCAGACTAGTCCCGGAAAAATAAAACTTCCTGCAAAACTTTTGGTGGGGCCACTAGATAAGATTTTAATTTTTAAGGGGCAGTGGGAATAGCTTTAACACTTTTTTTCCATGTGGAATTTTACCGACAATATTCTCAAACTTTAGGGCTTTGTGATATTAGAAACATCCTGTGAGTCTCTGTGCTGCCTCCACCTTTCAATGCCCAGTTTCAAGCTGTTGGGACTGAAGTTCTGATGGAATTCTGAATTCACCGGCCTCTTGAAATAAAATCATCCCAGTTTTCATCCTGCTTCCCTCCAGCCTTATTTGTTTACACTAGTGCCCAGGCACTATTGGAGATCGGGTTTAGGCATTCTTTCATTCTCATAACTTGTGTGTGCGTGCGTGCGTGTGTGTGTGTGTGCCTGTGTGTGTGTGTGTGTGTGTGTGTGTGTGTGCATGTGCACTAGAGGTCAGAGGACAACGTCAGGTTTGGTTCCTCAGGTGCCATTCAACTTACTTTTCTGAGGCAGGATCTCTCACTGGGACCCGGAGCTGGTTACTACAGCTTGCCAGCCAAGTGTCAAGAATCTGCCTCTTTCCACCTCCCCAGCATTGATTCTAAGCACATGCCACCACACCCAGCTTTCTCACACGTGTTCTCCAACTCAGGTCATCTTACTTTGCAGCTCACCTAGCTCCCTGGTCTTTAAGCTCATGACTCTTTTAAGTAGGCTATTATTGCCATAAATGTGGAAACTGAGGAATGGACAATGATGAACATGGACAGGCACATAAGATCATATCCATGTTTGTGTGATAAACAACAAAATTGGTAAGTTGGTAGTCAAAACAAACTTTTAAAAGCACGCCTTACTAGGCATTGCAACACCTACCTACTGTGCAGAAGTGTGAGTTTTCAAGTGAGACATGAAAGGCAAAACTAAGTAGTTTCCAGGTCAAAAGAACTGTGGCTCATGTCTGTTATTTTAATGTCCACAGGAATTACAAAAGGTAGCTATTTAGATCTGTTTTATAGTGGAGGAACTTAGCCTCAGTGAGGGTGGCTATCTTGTCTAGTAGCCAGTGAGGAGCGAATGTCCAGGTATGGAATTCAGCTCTGCCTTCCTCTAAACCTCACTCTCACACAAAATGAGCTGTGTATTAAATAGGCCATGGCTTAAGTCTGCAGTGGTATCAGGCCAATTATCTCCATTATTAGGTCAGAAGTATCACTGTAGGGGAGTGAGAGGTCTGCCTTACCCCTCTGAAGTCACTCACACTCTGTTGTTGACAAAGGCTCCAAGTGAGACCCTATGCCCTGCTGAACCACATCCTACATCCCAGTGGGCTCCTCTGAGGGGATGCAGGACACTTAGTAAGAAGAGGACAAGTGAGCCTTGGCTTGGATCTCTGACTGGCTCGATGCTTCTTGGTTAGGGTAAGTGAGTTCTTTCTGTTTCTGGGTAGGCCTTGGTAAGTTCTTATCGACATTTTATTTTTCACATTTACACAAAACATTCTCAGCATTTTAATCTACTGAACTATTGTAATTCAAGAATCAATGGAGGGCTGGAGAGGTGGCTCAGAGGTTAAGAGCACTGGCTGCTCTTACAGAGGACTCAGGTTCGATTCCCAGCACCCACATGGTGGCTAACAACCATTCATAACTCCAGTTCCAGGGGATCCAATGCACCTTTCTGACCTCCACAGGCATTGTACAACACAGGTGCACCTACCTACATGCAAGTAATACACACATAAAATAAAAGATAATAAAATATTTTTTTAAAAAAGAATCAATGGAAACAGGGCTTAGTCTGCATGTTGACCTTGAGAAAATCCAACCTTTAAAAGGTGACAGTTAGTTACTAGATATGAATCCTAAGCTGAGCACTACACACCTGTTAAGTTCACTAAGAGCTCTAGGGTTTCCAAAGTGATTGAGAAATTCTTAAATACAGAATCAACATTAGTGCTTTCAATGAACATGTACCTAGTTGATATTAACCACATTCTTCTACAGGACTGAGACATAACTAATCTAGTCATCAATGGGGACAGCCAGATGTGCTAACCAGGCTAGAGTTCTAATGCTGGCATGGCCAATGACTTGCTAGGTAACTTCGAGCTTCGAGCTTGGTAAAGCAAGAGGGATAATTTCTGGGTACAGTTCTGAGGAGTGAATGAAATGAATGGTATTGAAACTAAGGAAAGTATCCCATTGATGAAATGAAATAGCAAAGTATGTGCTTTCAGTGAACGAACATATCCCATACCACAATTCCCTTCTTCACGCTCCTTTACCATAGAAACCACCTGTTACATACCCCTAGTCTTGACACATGCTGACAAATACAAGAAATCATCTGCTTTCCATCACTAGGGGTCTCATCATAGACACCCATGTCAAGAAGACTCCTGTGTTAAGGTTTATCATGTGACTAGCCTGGGCCACAGATCTGCTGTTTGCAGGTGCTCCCGGAAGATGGTTAAACAAGCGCCAAGCATATTCACGATGGCCCTAGAGCGGGGCTTTCTCTGCCTGCGACTCTTGCCGTCTTTGGGAAGCCATGGAAGTCTCTTCCCAATGGACAACAGGGTGTTGCAAAGCTGCTGTCCTGCTCTCATCGAGAGCATGTCCTTTTGACGGTTGACAGGCAAGTTGCCAGTCATGACCACAGCAGGACTAGTCTGTCCCACTCACGGAGTTTTGCTGTGTGGAGCTGCAGGAGGCTGGCATTGATCCACAGTTAGAAATGGTCTGTTGGAGGCACTTTTGAAAAAAACACACAGGTCTGAGAGTCAAACAGCTCTCTAGCACATAAAATGCAGGTTCTAGCTCAAGAAACAATCGGATGGTCACAGGGTTTTCATCTGTACCGTAGCATTTCATAGCAAAAGATCGCTTTAAGACACAAATGCCTTTTTAAATGTCTTGGTCCCAGGTGTGGCTTGTCGGTTCTGTAGGATTTTACAGACAGGTGCCAACAGATAACCTCACCATACTTTAAACCTAATCTTTCTTGGCTAGTGGTTTCACCAGATTGGGAGTATCCAAGGTAAGACTGTAATCCAAGACTGCAAATGGTCCCCAAGAGCCAACCACAGCTTGGTGTTCATCCAACCACCACCGCACAGGAACACTGGAAGATGGTCTGTCCCCTTGTGACCATTCTCTACAGCACCACTGACAGGAAGAGGAGTGAAGGGTTGTTTAAAGAACCTAGGTTTGGCTGTTATCCCTCCTAGGGAGAATAAGTTGGTAGCCATCTAACACAGTCCACGAGCCGAACAGCCTCCTGTTTCCTTAGTTCTGAGTCTGCTATGCGTGTGTGAGGCTGAAGCCCCCCTCCATGAAAGCACTGGCTGTGTTCTTTCAGGTCAGCTGTAGGAGTTCTGTACACTTCCCACATACTGGTAGTGATTGCAAATGACAAGGATCAGAGCTTCATCCTGCTGAGCTCAGATTTAGAACATTCTGGAAGAAACACAGCACCAACACAGGCGCTGCACTCTGTAGAATGTTACTGCACTAAAACCTTGCTCCACCTGTAGCATCTTTAGGAACTTTCAAAGTACGTCTCAGAGAACGAACTGATCTGGCTGCCACCCTTCTAGACCATAGACACCAACGGTCTAAGTAGAATGGCTCCAGGGCTGAGATGTTCAACTCACAAGAAAGTGTCCTTCATAGGTTTTGTGTACACTCTGTTGCAGAGGTTAAATGACCAGAAGTGAATCAACTTCAGGGAATTTAGGCAGGAAACTGAAAATACATACTTCTATACATTGGGATAAAAAACCTCTGAGATCTTGGCAGTCTGAAGATATCCCAGCCAAAGAAGCCTCCAGAACTTTGTGACAAGAGTCACACTTGAAGATAAGATTTATAGAATGTAAGAGTCCAGGGTTCACTTCGGCAAACTGGGGACATGGTACAACCAACAGGCAGTCAACACAGAACTCGGTCTTTTGTCTGTATCTTGCGAATTCACCGATAATCAGCATGCCCACACGTTCAGCGGTTTAGTTCTTCGGTCTGGAAATGCTGTGCTATATTTTCTACCTGATCTTTGATTCTAATCTAAATGGATAGTGGGCATCTTTGGCTCAGAAACAAATGAAAACACCCAGAAACAGAAATATGGAAATTTGACCCAACCTCACAAAAGTCAAAAGGTAAGTTTAAAACTATGAAGGGGTACTTGCTAAATACTTCAGGCATACACTTCAAAGATTCAAAAGAATGCTTGTTCAAAATGTGCATTAGAGGTCATTAAAAATATACACGTCACTAGGCAGGATGGGCACGCCTTTGATCCCAGTACTCAGGAGGCAGAGGCAGGTGGATCTTGTGAAACCGAGGCCAGCCTGGATAACAATGAATTCCAGGCCAGCTGGGGCTACAAGGAAATGCTGACTCAAAACAAGCAAAACAAAACAGAACAACGTCCCCTAAACATGTATGGATATGTGAGTATATATGTACCTCACATCTCTAATTTTACTTTAATGTGAATTAGAGGTGACTTTAGAAATAAAAAATCATGACTAAAAAGATTAATTCGAGCTATTTCTAATTTCAGCGTCCGTTAATCTCTGAACATATTTAGATGAGCTCGCAGAGAGAGGATGGCTCAGCTGATCTATTTTGGATACAAGCCGTGTAAACTATGGGATTGTGTCACCTACGATGGAATCTCAGCCTCAGTGACGTGGGTCCTTAATCATGTCCTTTACCCAACTAGCCAAACCGGGAGGTGGGAAGTCTTTCTGTTGACTAATCAAAACGCCTGCTTCCTACCAGCCCACACTCCCAGCCACTGAGGAAGAGAGGTGTCAGGGAAAGGCATGCCCTAGCACCCTAAAGGCTCTGAATACAAAAGGAAGATTCTGAATTGAACATGGCCACTGAGATATCAGAATAGAAAGAAAAAAGGAAAAGTCAAAAGTTGCAGCAGGAACAGTCTGCAGTGAATGACGGTACCTTGGCGACGGCTTTACCATCACAATTGTTGTTGGAATCCTTGGCCCCACTGAAGGATTCTCTTCTCTGTGGGCACAGTTTCTTTTTGCGCGGTCTGCCTTTAAGATTTGGCGCTGCAAACAAACAGGAAACAATTGATATACACTTTCAGTTGCACAGGCAGCAAAGGAGTCACAACCTCACTGCTTGCTTCCTTCTGATAGTTCCGAGACATGTACATACCCCCATCAACTCTCATTGGATGCTTCTGTCTCTGCAGGGTGGTACCTTGGTAGACTCTATACTTTCTGTACTTTTCCCAAAGTTAAGTCAGCATACTTTCCCAAGTCTAATTAATATAAATAAAGCCTAAAGGATGACGGTAAGGATCCTGAAACAGGCTTGTTTCATATCTTCTTTTCAAAAACTCAAGTGATAATGCCAGCCTGTGACGTCATCACGGTAAAGTAGCATTTCAATATCTCTCTCTTCAGAAGGGTTTGGAGACAGGAGCATGTTCTCAAATGATCATACTGATGGAGAGAGACAGCTTTAGAGAGGTACTCATAGCAATGAGCTGCAGGGTATTATTACATGTGTTTCCTAATAATGTTGCGGCCAGCGTGTTTCAGTCTCAGCAAATCTGGCAGAAACATTGAGTCACTGTGCTCTTTCCCCTCCTCAATATATTTTCATGAAGATCTGGAGGGTTATTGAAAATAAATTCCAAAGCTTACACTAGGGTTAGCCTGATTCCAGTGAAGGTTCAACTTTTTTTTTTAAAGCTGCAGTTACAACTGACACAGATGATATTGAACTTGGGCTGTTTATGGACTGCTCTGACTACCCCCCCCCAATCAACTTTCACATTCAACTTCAACTCAGTCACCCCAGCAGGAAAATTAAAACCAACCAATTAACTGAGCTGCCTTTGAACCAACTCCAGACAAACGTATTCTCTCCCAAACAATCTCTTCTGGTCTCTCAAGGCACCCACATTTTTATCACTTTGAGGAACAGTTATGACATAATCAAATCAGAACGGCACGAACTCTCTGAATCGTAACTAATCTTACTGATGGCACAGTTTAAACAGTGGTTTTAGGCTACTTTATGTTAGACTTATTTTACAGACATGATTAATCCTACTAATTTGATTTTCTGCTGCGGATAAGGGTTTTATTGTTGTTGAAGCTCTGTGAAGGCAACTCTCTCTTTACAACACCACCCCCCACCCGAATAAAAGTTTAAGAAGCACTTTCGGGGCTCAGGCTTCGCTTCCCAGATCAACATTGTTCATTCTCGTTTCTCAAAACATGGGTCTCAAAGTCCATCCCAGAAAGCCAGCCTGGAATTATCAAAGGTAAACAAGCTCCCGAACAAAACCAAGCAAAGAGAAAGGAGAGATTACCCATTCCAGTCGTCCCACATCTGCCTGATTGACGTCTGTGCTCAGCAAAACTCGGGCAGGGGGCTGCTCCCCAGCCGCATCCCTGGAAGTCTGGACTTGGTGTGACTGACTGCGGAGAGAGGCTCAGCGCTGCTCAGAGATCCCCTCCCCCAGCAGCTCCATTACTCATGTAAACACACGGCAGTGACTAGCACGGGTGTGTGGGATGAGCTCTGAGCACTTCGGGGGAGCTGCCAGACTGGCAGGGAAGGCTCTGCTCTCTCCCCCTCCCTGTCCGGGCTTGCTGATTGCACCCAGCCTGTTCGGTGGCTCTTGCTCCTTGGTGGGAGCACCGAGCCATGTTCCATGAATCTGACACGCTCCATAGCCTGGAGCCAGGGCGGGGACTGTTTTGTTTAGAAGACTTTGTGCAGCACAGAAGCATTTTCACAATGACCTGAAGTATTAAGGCTTTGAAGGATGTACTCTCAAGTCTCCTTATCAAAATAATAGCCCAGCAGAAAAAGCCCACAGAAAGAAACAGGACTTGAGCGAGGCCGTCCGGAGTGGTTCTGTCAGAAAACAACAACAATATCGCCTCTGTTCTGAGACTGTGATCTACCCCCTTCTTGGATTTTGGCAAAAAGCACTTAAACCTAAGAGGCATTTATTTCTAGAAAAGTCCTCAAGTCCCAGAGGCCTTTGCTAAAGACAGAACTTGCATTGAACAGGCTGTTTTAAATACTAAGGCAAGGGTTCCAGGAACCCACCAAGAGTCATCCCCAACAGGGTCCACTTCCTTCATCCTCTGAGCTGTTTCAGAACCCAGAGATGCAGTGGATTCTGAGAATTCCAAATTTAGAACAGAGGGGCACCTAGCAAGCTGATCACATACTCTAAACGCGATTTGATGAACCCTGTGATTCCTATTAGAACAAGTCCTGGGATATTCCAGGCAGGTCAGTCCAGCATCCCTCAGCCTGTAAATGAAAGCTCTTCTTTTAGAATTCCCTATGATCTCCGCCCCCCCCATGTATCACTGTATTCTTTATACTTGAGTTGCATGGGGCTTTTGGGGGGGCTTCTTATTATACCTGATGGGGCAGTCTTTAAGGGTAGGTTCATTTGATTCGAGATCTCTCAGCTGCATGGTCCCTGGGAGGCAGCACTTTGTAACATAAATTTGTTGAATGAACCAGTGACTAATGGAGATACAGATGCCCACACACCCCTTACATCTTCAGGAATGGAGCCTGCCAACCTGATCACATGGTACATGTGTCACTCTGGGAACCGTCACATCTGGGAACGTAAGCCAGTGACTTGAGGTGACACCAGGAGCTATAATGGGAAGCCTAAAGCCTTTGGCTCCTGAGGCTGTTAAGCCATTACCTTGTTATACTGGTAAAACCAAAGCCTTGTCCCATGTGCCAAGAACGAATTGTTAACATCCCTGGACCAGTGAATCATGAAGGACTGGCAAGATGTTCATGATACAACCGGAGACTGTTTGGACTCCTGAGACCCTACGTGAGGCTTTGCAATTAAGGCCCTGGGGGAGTGACACAAATTCTGGTTCCTGGGCCATAGTTATCTTCCTCTAGGTGGTGAACAAGTTATTTCTAGATTAAAGACTAATAATAAACGCACTAAGGTGTAGTGGCGGCCAGGGTAGAGCAGGACTCTGGGTTTTAATTCATTCATGCTAGATGACAATGCAATTCCTCCTTTCTGGAGAGCCAAGTGCTGTGCCTGAATTGTCAGAATCAAGATCCCCAGTCTAGACCTCGCTTCAGGTAAGAAGGCTCTCTCCCGACTCAGCTCTGCTCAGAAGGCAGCAGCAGGTGCGCACCTGGCTCCTGTCAGTTGCACTTAAAGGAAGTTACAGTGCAGAGAAATAAATTCACATGTGGTTACTTTACCCGGAACCTATAACCCAAGGCACTGTGCGGGCCTGGCTCCTCAGAGCTCCTTGCACGGATGTTCTCAATAGCTATTGATATGACCATGGTCACTAATCCTTACTGGGTACTTCTGTGTGCCAGTCTCTGGTCTGCACTGCTCTGCATGTAATAACACCTTTAAAACTACCAACAAGAGACCAACAGTTACTACCATCCCCCTTTTACAGACCAGGAAACTGAGGCAGAGACGAAGATGAGCCTCAGTTCATGCAGCTGGAATGCAAACCTGGCAACTGCAATTTACCCAAGGCCCCCGTTTTCCTCAGTTTCTCTCTAACAGACACCTGCATACCCAGTACTCAACCTCACAGTGAGGCGAACTGATTAACTCAGGTTGGCAGTCACTAAGAGAACTTTTGCCAAATGAAAATACCCTCAGATAGCACACAGCCAGCATCTCCTGGATCCTGCCGAGAACAGGGCCCCTTCAGTTCTGACTTCGAAATAGGTTACAGAACTTCCATCTAACCCATTAAGTCCAATAAAACTTGGTGAAAGTACCATGCCCACAATTCCTTTACAGTGGGAGCTTCTGACTGATCAGTGAGTAGTCTCTGTGGTTTAAAAAAAAATCTACTCCTCTCTGATTATTCATCTGTCTGGCTTACTTAGTGCCATGAAATTAACAAGGATTCACCTTTGTGCCTCGAAATTTCTATAGGTGCTAATCTCCTGAGAGGCAAGCTATCTTCGTGTTGAGGACGCCGTGACACCTAACCCACCTGAGCTATTGTTTTCTTTTTTAACTCTTTCAAATATCAATAAATGGAAATTTATTTTTTTTGACAACATAGCACAAAAGTTTGTTGTTGCTGTTTTTTTTTTTTTGTTTTTTTTTTTCTTAAAGGATTTCTGTTTCCTCAAAAATGCAGGTATTTGTGTATAGATACTTTGCCATGGGTTGGACAAGCCGTGTTCAGGTGAGAAACTCCTCTAACCCTCAACTCTTCCGGGAAAACAAAGGCGATGTAAGCAGTCACTGGCAAAGCCAATTGCTTTTGGTCTCAGCTTTTCTTTTTTTTAATTTTATTTATTATTTTTATTTTATGTGTATGCGTGTACTGCCTGCATGTAGGTAAGTGCACCCAGGTCATGCAATGCCCGCAGCAGACAGAAGAGGCTGTCAGATCCCCTAGGACTGGAGTTATGGACAGTTGTTAGCTACCATGTGGGTGCTGGGATTTGAACCCGGGTCTTCTTCAAGAACATTCAGTGTTCTTAACCCACTTAAACACTTGTATTGCTCTTGGAAGTGCAGTCACTTCGAAAATGTTACCAGTGTTTTTTTTTTTTTTTTTTTTTTTAATTGAATTTATGCTCTTGGAAATACCGCAAAGATAAACTACTACAAAAGCTGAATTTTCTTCACTGACTCCTCAGTGAAGACCTCTTTCTTCCTGTTTTGCAGAGGGGATTTTTTTCCCCCCAATTCAGCTACACATCCTTTGTGAACTTTTACTCAGAGACCCGGTCTTACTTGCTAGGCTGGACTGGAAATAGGGAGTGGAAAGCCAAACATAATTTTCCTAAGAGCTTGACCCCCTGGGGTCAACATGTACAGGAAGTCGACAGAGCGTCAACTCATTTACTTTGTAAGTTGTATGACTGTGTGCCCATGTGACTATTTTAAACATGAGCCAGAAAGCAAAACCCCACTGATAGAAGTCTTAAGTCATGGCAAACTGTTCTCTGTATAGCCTGTGTGCCTGATAATACTTTGCATTTCTGTGATGCCTTCCCTCTGAGGATGGTAAAATGCTGGTACTTTTTCTTTACAGAC